GAGGAGGAGGAGGAGGAGCCAACGCACGATGGAGTACAGGGCCTGGCGCTTGTTCTGGAGTCGGACGAGTTCCTCGCCGCTGAGCTTGTTGATGAAGTAGAAGTCGTTGTTGGGCTCGTCGGTGGCCCTGAGGGCCGACCAGCTGAGCTGCCGGCCGCGGTGCTCGAATTTCTGCACGCGCAGCACCCCGTCCCCCCGGTGTCGCTCCGAGTCACGCACGGGAGGCGCCATCGCGATGGCGCCGGGCGCCGATACGGCTCCGAAGCCAACCGACGACGACGGCCCGCTGGGGCTGGAGGGGGATGCGGAGACCGAGACCGAGATGGAGACCGAGGGCACGGCGGGGGGACCGGCACGCGCGGCTGCCAAGCGTAGGTCGGGCAGCGGCTCGGCAAACCGTTCGTCTTCGTGCTCCTTCTCCATGCCCTCCACGAATCCACGCGCCCTCCGCTTTTTCCGCCGCTCGATCTCTCGTTCGGCCTCGATCATCGCCTTGCCCAGCTCGATCTCCTTGGCGAGCTTGTTTTCGTCGTCCAGGCCCATCACCTCGCTCGTGAGCAGCGCCAGCTCCCTCTGGTGGTAGGGCAGCGTGTTGACGTGGACCGCCACCGCCGCGATGTCCTTGGTGTGGTTGTGTGCGCGGCGCAGAAAGGGAGAGATTATGTAGTGTGTGTCGCGTGAGGCGAGCGTCACAGTGTTGAGTGTGCGGTGAAGGGCTGGCTAAATGGTGTGCTGCGCACCTGTGGCATGAAGGGCGACTGCTGTTCGAAAAGAGTGGGGTCGTTCTGAAATCGCTCTTGCGTGGATTGCTTGTAGGACACGCCCTGCGGATACGGATGCGAACGGAGGAGGAGGAGGAGGAGGAGGAGGAGGAGGAACGAGGGAGGTGTCGGCCGCGGTTAACAACCAACCGCCGGCGATGGAGAAGGAGAGGGATGAGGGGGCGAGAGAGGAGAGACGTACCAGGTGTTTCTGCATCGTGGCGAAGAGGGCGAGCTTGCTCAGGATGTGCTCGCGCAGGTCGTGGTCGGTGTGCGCCTCCTCCTCGGAGAAAATGTGGTGCGACGAATATTTGACCAGCAAATGGATCTTGAGGGACCACTGCCAATACCTACAAATAGAAGACGACACGACACACACACACACACACACACACACACGTTTATAAATAGGGTGGCACGCGCGCTTGGACGGGGACGAGCACACCGCACAACACCACCGGCTGGGCGGAGGTAAGGAGGGGAAGAAGACACAAGGCCAACGCGCACGCACACACGCACCACCGCACAAACGCGCACACGAACAGCCTCGCACCTGTCCGAATCCTTGGAGGATCCCAAGACCATGTTGAAGAAGTGCGTGAGGACGTCGTGGTAGGCCTCCTCCTGCAGCGACTTGACTTCCCTCAGGCGACTCCGTAGGACGTTCTGCACGTGACCAACCATAACCAAACAACCAACCACGAGAGGGGCGCCGGGGATAAGGCACAAGAGGGGGGGTAAAGCACACTTGGTCGTGGCCACACACACACACACACACACACGACACGCGACACACACACGACACACATGCAGCCCAGGCCCAGCCAGGTAGGAGGAAGGGAGGATTGGCGCTTGGAGAAGGGAGAGCGCACCTTGATGGTTCGCGATATCATCTCCATCAGAATGAACGACCGCACCGTATACTCCCGCTCCGAGAGGTGCGACCGGAGCATGCCGATGTACCTGCGCTCCCCCCCCCGCGCGTGGTTGGTTGGTTGTATTGGTTGTTGGGCGGAGATGATGAAAGGGCATGGACGGGGGCGGGGGGGGGGCATCGGGGATGGTGAGCCAAAAATAACACGGCCACCCACACGGCACAAAAAATGTTAAAAAAGCTGCAGGGGGCGCACCTCAAGTTGATACCTCGCTTGTGTAGCTCGTTGACGAGCTGCCGGGAGTTGACGATGATCACCTCGCCCTGCTCGATGGCAGCCGCCAGTTTGGGAATCTCCACGTGGACGATCCGGCTAGTGGCCTCGCGCACCTCGCTGTCGTCTTCGGGTGTCGATGCCCTGGTGGTGGTCGTGGTGGTCGTGGTGGTCGTGGTGGTCGTGGTGGTCGTGGTGGTCGTGGTGGTCGTGGTGGTCGTGGTGGTCGTGGTGGTCGTGGTGGTCGTGGTGGTCGTGGTGGTCGTGGTGGTCGTGGTGGTCGTGGTGGTCGTGGTGGTCGTGGTGGTCGTGGTGGTCGTGGTCGTGGCGGCCTTCTCTCAGCCAACGATGGAGAGCCCAAGCGGGAGAGGGAGAATGGGAGCGAGGGACGTAATTTGGGGGGGAGGGAGGAGAGGGGCTACCGAAATGGGGAGAAGGCTTCGGAGTTGAGGGGCACCGGGTTGCTAAGCACAGCCTCGGGGCGCAGATAGTGGTAGAGGTAGGGGTTCTTGTACCTGGCCGTGTGTGCGTGTGTGCGTGTGTGCGTGTGTGCGTATGTGCGTGTGTGCGTGTGTGCGTGTGTGCGTGTGTGCGTGTGTGCGTGTGTGCGTGTGTGCGTGTGTGCGTGTGTGCGTGTGTGCGTGTGTGCGTGTGTGCGTGTGTGCGTGTGTGCGTTCAAACACCACATCCGCCCCCCCCCAAGTATCGGTGATGAATGCGCGGCCCATGTGAACAGGCTGGCAAGAGGGAACGAATAGGAAACGCGAGGTCTGATGGCCAAGAGGGGAGGAAGAAGGAAGTTACGCGCACCGCTTCACGACGATCGCATCACCTTGCGTGGGGATGTTGGTGAAGTGACTCGCCCGGTCGTTTTGCTTCGGGCTGCCCTCGCCCTGGTCCTGCGTGTGTGCCCGCCCGCCCGCCCGCCCGCCAGGGTGAGCCTCTTCGAGACGGAGAGAGACGCCATTGCTGCGGCGTCAAAGAGTGGGAGGCGAGGGGAGAGAGGGATTCAGGCATGGGTGCTGCTCACCGAAAAGCGAACGGTCGTGCTGGCCCGGCTGGTGCGCGGCGTGAACTCTGGCTTGTAGACAACGATCGTGCAGCTGTCCTCGTGCTCCTCCACACACGCCTGGCCACCACCAGCCGCCACCACCAGCCGCCATAGAAATGCGGTGCCACGTAGTAGCCGCGTGAGAGGGAATGCCGCGGATGCATCCCTTTCTTAGGAAGAGCGGTATGGGGCATTGCGGGGGATCCCAGCCACTTCCAGAAGACCAGAGGAGGAAGACGACGACGACGACGACGACGAAAGTACGGGTTGGGCACAGACGAGGCCAGGCCAAGCACACGTGCGTACCTCGTCTTCCGACGCTTGAATTTTGTCGAGGGCGTCCTTGAGCCAGGACCCGGCTTCCTCGTGCACGTACACCTGCACCAGGGGCCTGCTCACGTCCTGGGGCACCAGCACCGCGTGCACCTGTTGGCGCGCCACGAACCACGGCACGGCACGCACGACATTCAAGGCGGGAGCGGCGAGGAAAGGCATATGTGGAGAGGGAGAGAGTGAGAGGGAGAGACGAGTGATGTGCGAAGCGCTACCTGGCCGTGGGGGGCTGTGGGGGGCATGAGGCGGGCCACATCGAGGGCGTAATAGCGGGCGTCGTCCTTGCCCTTGTGGATCTGCACACGACGCACGTGTCCATTTGTGACATATGAGTTTGGGGGGAGAGAGAGAGTGAGGAAGCTTGGTCTGAACGCAGTCTTTGACTGGCCAGGATTTATGTAGGAACACACACACACACACACACACACACGACACACACACACGACACACACACACACAAACACACACGACACACACGGGCTAAGCTCCGGGGAGCGTGGACCTCAAAATCAATGGGGCCGTAGAGCTCGATATCCTGCTCGGGCCGCGCCAAGAGGTGTTTCTTGAGGTGAAGCTTCTCGCCCAGCCTCCGCACCAGCCCACACGCATCCCGATTGAAGCTGAACGTCACTCCACCATCTGACGAGCCCCACTGCTGCGTGGTGGAGCCGAGCGGGAGACTGTACGCGGTGGCCCACATGAGGCCCAATTCGGTCGTGCGTATGCGTGTGCGGTGGTGCGTGTGCGTGTGCTGATCAACTGCAGCTGCTACAAAGGTTACCCACGTACACTGAAGTGACGAGCAGCCGATAGCCGCGATAGTCGATCATGGCCACGAGGGGCATGCACAGCCCTTCCATTCCGCTTTCGTAGATAGCCTGGGTTGGATGTGGTGGGAGAGAGGTGGGTGGTTGAGGAGGCGGTGAGGGCTGATGACTAGAAGTTTACCTTCATGTTGCGCAACTCGGCAGAGGTTGCCTTCATCGCATATTTCTCGCCGCCATAGAGTCCGCGCACGTCCTTCTGTAGTTTGAAGAAGCAGCCGGCCTGGCGCCCATCGAAAAGGGGAAGAGGGGGGGGTAGGGGCGGTTCGTAGTGAGTGCCAGATTGTCTTCCGGCCACGGCCGGGAGAGCTCAACTGCTCTCGAGATGCAATCCGAGGCGATGCAAAAGGAGACGAGAAGCGGTGGGGGAGTAAGTACGAGGATGTACTTGGTTCCGCCTGCTTCTCCGATTCCCTGCTCGGGTGTAATCGTACGCTTCTCAGGCGGCAGATTCAGTTCCTCTATGATCTGGCGCCCGAGCACCTCCGCCACCTGAGTGGAACCAAAAAATAAAAAATAAAAAATGAGATCGTTCGCAAACTAACACAAGCCACTCGGCCTCCCGCAACCGCCCCGACACGACACGACACGACACGACACGACACGACACGACACGACACGCAAGAGGAAGGTGGAGGAGGGCACCGTCACGAATTCGGAATGAATTTGTATGAGCTTCTGCACTTTCAGGATGCGTTGGTGAGGCTGCTCGGAGGGAAGCTCCATGGTCTGCTGGAAGAGCAGGTTCCAGTCCTGCTGCAGGTACGAATACCTGCGCGGGACGGACGGGGCGGAAGATAAGCTTAACACGGCGCGGTGCAACGGCCACTGCAAGAGAGGTTCTGGCAGAATACGATTCAAGAAAAAAGGGAACAACACTGCGATATGGAGGGGAAGGGATGGGGTGGGATGTACCGCTTGTTGCCCTCGACTAGGCGACGGGACAGCCTCTTCTGCAGGTCCTTGGGCATGGTCTCCTCGAGCATGGCGGGGTGAATGAGCGCAGCAGCAGGCCTGCAGTTGGGATAGGCGCCACATATACGCACACACGCCACACGCCAAACACACGAGGTGGCATCAAGCCACACCGCGAGAGCGTGCATGAGCCAAGTACGACCAACATGGAAGTTCGGCCTAACGCAGCACCACCGCACACAAGCGTACTTGGCCTTTCCGTCCGGTGTGACCCGCTTTGCCAGGCGGTGCTTGAGGTCCAGAGGTCGCTCTACTTCGCGCAGTCGACGCAATGGCGCCAGCAGCGGCACGACGGGCTTGCCGGCCACTCCGTGGCTGCCCTGTCTGCTCACCCCCGGACATCATCATCGTCATCATGACACACACAAGCAGTTATTAGACAACGGGAAGTGTATGTCAGTTATCACTGTCAAGCAGCAGCTCACGCGTCACGGTGTAGCGAGGTGGCTTCTTTTGGTCAGGGGAAGCAGTCAGGCACACGCACGCAATGGGACATGTGTTGTACTGCGAGGCCGCCAGCGCAGGTGCGACTGCTGGCTCCACTCCTGGCGGGCGTGGTCTATGTGGGTGGCAAAGGGAACGGAGGGTGAGCACCTCCGGGTCAGGGCACAGTACAGAGGTGCCGGCCAGCAATAAATATGATGATAATGCTGTGCAAATGAAGCCTCATCCTAATTAACCATCTTCAGCTCGGTTGTGATGTTAATCAACAGAAGTACGCTGTACCTCGTATCTGCTGGTACAGCGCGGGTTGGTATGGTCGCTGAACAGTTGTAGTGGGATGCCATTGGCGCACCTCCTCACCCCACCCTTTTAAACTCGGGCGATACGAGTGAGACTGGGTCTGAATGTCTTCAGGCGCAGGTTCTCATGGATGGTGCCCTCCCTGCCAAGGCAAATCGGATTATCCAGGAGAGAAAATACAAATTCTGTTGTTGTTTCCTTTTTCTGCAACGCCTGGAGTTAACTTGGCGAAGAACTCAGAGGAATACACCTAATTGAAAATATTTGCGATTGGCTCCGGCGAAACAAGGGTTACACTGCGCAAATTGTGCACAATAAGCTGCAGCAGCAGGCAAAGGCAGAAATGCAAAGTAGAAAAGAAAGGGAAGGGGAAGAGAAAATTTATTAAGGGTTCAGGAAAGCCGCTCAATCAGCGATACCAAAACCCAAGAATAATATAATTTTTTAAATAAAAAATAGTCGCGCCTCACCCCACAGCGTCGCCTGCTGCTGCCTTGTTGACACTCCAGTCGTACTTGAGGAAGGAGACCTTGCAGTTGCCGTCCCGCGCCCACGCACGGAGCACCTTGGCTGTCTCGGCCGACACAAAGTCCGCAACCCACCGGAGCAGCTCCTGTGTGGGTTGGATGTGGGGTGAGCAGAAGAAGAGACAAACCTCAATTAGGAGCTGAAGGGAGGGAGGGATTGGGGGGGGAAGGGGGTAGGCCTGCGGCCAACCAACGCATGCGCACCTCGTCCGTGCGGGCAAAGTCGATGCGATACCAGTCGAGGATGCGGGAGAGCTTGACCTCTCGTTTGGGAGGGTTCAACTGCAGGTTTCCTCCGCCGACCTCGAAGAAGGCCTCCGTGGCTGTGGTGAGTGCATCGTCCACGTCCGATGCTCGGTAGGTTTTGATGGCCGGACAACTCTTGGCGCCACACACCACTGCTGACACACGACGATCGTCGCCGAGTATAACACCAACGCGTACGGCCGTCCGTACCAGGGAGCAGGCAGGAGCGTTAGAGAAGGACCAAGCTTGGGCAGACACGACGGAGGAGAGGGCGCGTACGAGCAAAGTGGATGCGGGGCTCGGGTTCGGGTAGACACAGAGGGAGGCGCGGGTCGCTTCGGGAGAACTGGCGGCCAAGCCCCCCCGGTGGCTTGCGGTTGCCGCGCAGGATGCCGTGCTCGATGTCGTTGAGCGAGAAGAAATGGCCCCCGATCAGGTACGTCACCCGATTGAAGAACCGATGCCGCTGGATCAGCGAACCCGGCGGACCCACTTCCACGTACGCGTGGATCACTACACGTACAGCCCCCGGACCACCACGACCGTCACGACCACCACCACGACCACCACCACCAGCCGCCGCCGCCGCCGCCGCCACGACCACAACACCACCGCCGCCGCCCACAACCAGTCAGTCCGTCTATTGGTGGAGGGGTACGCAGGCGCTTGCATGACGTGGGGCACGGAAAGGAAGAAGACATGGCAGATGATCATCATTGTAAAAAGAAATATAGAAATATAGAAATGAAGTCGGGGTGGTGTACCCATGGCGTTGTAGACGTTGATGAAAAAGGCCAGCTACAGGCCGGCCGGTGCCGCAGAGGAGGGGGCAGGAGGGGGCAGGAGGGAGGAGATAGGAGTCACGTCGACGGAACAAACCATTAGCCGCCACCAGCCACCAGCCACCAGCCACCAGCCACCAGCCACCAGCCACCAGCCACCAGCCACCAGCCACCAGCCACCAGCCACCAGCCACCAGCCACCAGCCACGGTGGCAGGGTGGCGGGCGGGCGAGTACCTTTTCCTCGCGGGTCAGGTGAGCCAGATCGACGCGCTGCAGCTCGGCTGCATTGCGGAGGTACCGCCTGAAGGCCTCGCTCCTCGCGATCCCCGCATAGTCCACCTCCTGCCAAAGTCCCCGTTCGCCGTGCCCCACCACCTCATTGGTTGACAGTGTCCCGTGGCTGGCGGCTGGCTGGCTGATGGAGGTACCTTGCCGTCGGGAGAGAGAAAATCGTCGTAGAGGGCGACGATGAGGCGCCTCACCTCCTCTGCCACTTCTGCCGCGGGTCGCGCCAGACACGACGACGCTGTCATTGACGACCACACACACACGACACACACGACAGACACGACACCAACGCACACACAACGCACACACCACGCGAGAGGGCGGGTTACATGCGGGGCCTTTAGTGGTGGCCCCAGCCGCAGGAGCTGTGGGGGAAGGGGGTTACTCACTTACCGTGTGTAGCGTTGAGGGTCATGGGGGTCACCTCTTCATCCTATAAAAGGAAATGTTTATGTATATGTATATGTATATGTATAGATAGAAAAAGAAATTGAATATAAAATAAATCAAAATAGAAACGAAGGCAACGAACGACGCACATGGAACGACAAGAGGGGCGGGGGGCGGGGGGCGGGCAGGTAAGGTCAGTGAGTGTGGTGGGGGGGGACAAGGGCAGCACCTGGATGAAGCGGTAGAAGAGGTGGTCGTCGGCGAACGGGTGGTCGTGGGTCACGTGGTGCAGGTAGTGGTGGGCCATCAGCCTGTTGCCCAGCTCCACCGCCTCCGCTCTGCCTCCCCCACCACCGCCACCCACCACCAGCCACCAGCACGTGGCAGCCGACAGCGCCCACGTGAGTGATTCTCTGGCCACGAGAATGGCTCGGGGCGAGCGTCGAGGTGTGTGTCGTGTGTGTCGTGTGTACCGAGTGGCCAGCGCCAGGCCAGAGGCGGGAGAGATGAGCCAATCGACGGCCTCCTTGCCCACAAACACCTTGCGGTACTTGCGCAGGTGCCACATCCTGCTCACCCACGGGGAACACGCACGCACGCACGCACACCAATACACCACGCACTGACGCACGCACGCCACACACAGGCATATACAGGCACAGGAGCCCCCCACCTCCCCAGAGTCAGAAAAGTCCTCCGGGGCTGTGGGCGAAGTGGGGGTGGGGTTGGGGCCTACCGACCGATTGTGTACAAGGCCAGCCCGGCGCATCTGCTCGACGAGGAGGGCCGCAGCGTCGGGTTCGCACTTGATGTCCCCCGCTACCACCACGCCGAGGTCTCCACGGGTGCTAGCCTTAGGGGGCGCTGGCGCGTCGGCGGGGGCCTCCTGCTCCCACACCGACCAGAGAGATTGTAATCTCTATAGTTCTCGAGAAGAGAGAGAGAGAGAGAGAGGTGGGGGGGGAGACGATGAACAACAAGTGGGAGGGAGAGGAGGAGTAATACGAACCCGAGTTACGAGGTCAATGAGGGCGTTGAGCTCCCCCGCAGCGGCGAGTTCTTGCAAGCGATCATTGCCGCCCGCATGTACCTACAACCGCCACCACCGCCATCAGCACCATCGTCACCCACCATGCGGATGCACCATCAGCCCCATACATGTGTGGAGGGGGAGGGGTCGTGCTCCCGTAGGTGGCCCACGCGGGTGGGCTAGTCCGCCTCCCGTTTCGCTGCTGGCGGTACGCCTGGGGAGGGGGAGGGGAGGGGAGTGTACGGCGTTGAAGAATATCTGGGGCACGGTCCGCTGGTTGGTGCGCTCCACCATCTCCCGACGCCGCTCGGGATAGCGGTCGAGATCGATGTCCACCAGCGGCACCCCGCATTCCTGCAGCAGCGCCTTGGCTGCCCTACACACGACACACACGACACACACACACGACACACACACACACACACACACGACACACACACAGGCACGCACGCACGGCCAACCAGCGAGCGAGTGTGTAAGTCGGGCGCACACGCCTTGGTGGTGCATCCATCACCATAACCATGATGAGGATGATGATGATGATGATGAGAGGGGGAGGGAGGGCATATGCCTACAATGGGGGCAGCCCGAGATGGAGAAGACAGTGATGCGGCCGCGCAGCTGGCGCTGAGTCCTCTCCATCTCCCCCTCGCTGCAGCTTTGCCACCCGCCCCGCCCCGGACGACAGGCGCTGTCAGCCTCTTCACATACACACACAAAAACACACAAACACACACACACACACACACACGGGGAGGGTATACCGCAGCACACTCAGCTGAAGTGGTGCAGGCGCCCAGCACTTCTACCTCCTCCTCCTCCTGGTGGTGGTGCAGCTGCTCCTCCTCGGTGCGGTGCTCAGCCCCTGGCGCACGAGTTACATGGGTGCACCCCAGAAAGAACAACTATTTAAAAGTCAAAACCAACGCACCGGTCGTGGGCTCTTCCGCATCAGGAAGGCATTCTGCCTGTGGGGGCCGGACCTCCATCTCCACGCGCTGGCTTCTTGGCCTTGTTTGTCGACCAATTTCTGGCCAGCTGGCGTGGCAGAAAAAGCCGATTAATCATCGGGCGGGAATTGCGCAGCTTCGCGAGGGGGGAGGTAGCGGTGTTGCGCGAAAGGTGGAGAGATGGAGCAGCCTCATCTCGATCTTCTGCACCACCGCATCGCGGGTAGCACCCACCAAGCAGGGTCGCCTCACCTGCAGCTCACCAATAATCAGCAGCCACCACAACATGCCCTCCATTTATTCGGGGTAGAGGACATGGCACTGCACCCTGGTGCGACTGCCCCCATGGACGAAATGGCGAGCCATGGCATCGTCCCCACCAGCCAGCCAATGGCGGCATCTATGAGCGGAGGTGCCGTGCAACAGCAGCCGCCGCCACCTGAGGAGGCGTTGCCCACGGACGTGGCGACGATCTTCTCGCAGGAGCCCACCCACGAGGCGGAGGCACGAGACGGGGCAGAAAGTCTGAGCGCGAGCGACATGGACCTGAAGAGGGCGGAGATCACGCGTACGTTCTTCCAGACCTTCTTCGAGTACCCCATCGGGGCCGGCGGGACCCAGCAGCAGCAGCAGCAGGTGGCCGTGGACCTGGTGGACTTCCTCTACGAGAGCCTCGTGCCGGCCCGCTACCGCCAGCGCAAGCAGGAGCGCGCCAAGTACCGCCTCAACGAACTGCGCGACGCCTTCCACAGGGCCACCACCACCACCACCACCACGGCCCCGCCCCCCTCCCCGGCCGACCCGCTCCTCTCCCTCCCGCCCCACCTCCTCCAGCTGCACCGGCAGCACCAGCAGCACCAGCACCAGCAAGCGACCGCTGCCGCCGCGAACGCGTCGATGCCTTTTGGCGGCGTGGAGGCCTCCTTCCCTCTCTCCCTCCCTCCTCCGCCTGAGCAGCAGCAGCAGCAGCATCAGCAGCATCAGCAGCAACATCACCAGCATCAGCATCAGCAGCAACAGCACCATCACGCCCCCACTGGCGTCGCCGGCGACGCTGCCGGCCCGACAGAGCAGCAGCTAGTCCTCGGCGCTCACTTCCCAACCACAGCGGCGGCGGCGGCTGGCGGCGGTGGTACGAAGCGGAAGCAGGTGTTCGACAAGAAGGCGTGGACGAAGCGCCAGTCGAATCGTACCTACTGGCTGGGCATGCGCGGACCGCTCTTCCCGGCTCGCATGCCCCTGCTGCGCAAGCTGGAGAGCCTCCTCGGCCACCCCCTCTCGCACCTCTCCGAACACACCTTCCGCCTCGCCTGGGAGCGCGAGCAGGTCCGCCGCACACACTCCCTCTCCTCCTCCCCGTCCCCCTCCTCCACCGCCACCGCCACCGCCACCGCCGCCACGTCGGCCCCGCCCCACTCGTACGCGCCCTCCTCCGCCTCTCCTTCGGACTCCGCCAGCGCCGCCTCCTCCTCCGCCGGGGGGGATGCCTCCCGCCAAGCAACCGCGCCTCGGCCCCGGCCCCGCAGACGGCGGCGACGGCGGCGGCGGCGGCGTGGCGTCGTCGCCCCTCCAAAGCGAAGACCCCGCCCACGTACGAGAATCCTCCCTTTCTCTCTCTCTCTCTCTCCTCTGGTCTGTCCACGCGTTGCCGCACGTGGGTCCCTCCCCCCCCGGCAGGTGTGGTGGAGAGAGGCTGACCGTGTCGCATGTGTGTCGTGTAGGCCGTGCTCCCCACGTTCCCGCTCTATGACGTGTGGCGGGACGCCGATCAGGATACGCGCCCACCGACAGGTTCGTTCGTGCACTTTGTGTTCGATGTGCCCGGCGTGGAGGAGGAGCCCAAGTTCACGTTCAGCAAGGCCACCCGCAGATGGCGGCTGGAAGGTCTCTCGCTTTCTCCCCCCCACCAATCCCTTCTCTCCCCCCCCCCAATCCTACACACACGACACACTCCGGAGGGGTCTGACGGTGGTGGCGCGGTGCGGTGGCGCCAGGCTATCGGGCAGAGACGTATGTGAGCAGCTACCGGGTGCAGCAGCGGTGGCAGGGCAAGTTCTGCGTCCAGGGCACCTTCCCTCCCTCCGTGGACGTGAGCGCCGTGCCCACGACCGCCTTCGCCAGCGGCCTCTACCACGTGCTCCTGGCCGAATTCGTCGACTGATGACACCCAAAAGAACGCCACCCGAAAGAAATAATACTTTTATCGGGTCCCGAGGCGGGGAGAGGGCCAACGGGGAGCCAGAAGCTCAGAGGGCGTCCACGATGGTCTTGACCTGCTCGGGCTTGTAGCGCACAACCATCCGTGGTTCATCGTACTTGTTTCGCGGGTCATACACAGCCTCGTGGAGTGCAGAGAAGAGGCCAACAATGTTGTCCCCCACTCGTGAACGTGCTGTTGCCCGCAGGTTGTGTTCCTGAATGGCCGGAAGTTTGACAAGTTAGCGAGCGCCATCCACTGTGGCCAGCTGGTCAGGATGGAAGCGCACCATGAGCTTGTCACAGTGCGGCATGATGAAGGCTTCCAAGTCGGAAAGGGAGCGTTCGAAACCGCGGACAGCTGTAGCGAGTGACCGGCTGTCCATGCCTGGCTCGAGTGACAGAGGACCCTGCACGTTGTTGTCAACAATCAGCATGGGAGGGAGCCATAATGGAGGATTGAGGGGGTCCCTTATGGGTCTCTCTCATACCTGGGTAGTGCGATACTGAAGGACAGCCATCTTTTCTGCTATGCCACAATTGCGAAGAAATCGTGCTGTCTGTGCGACAACACATCAGTGACAAGTTGGTCTTGTTGGCCATGAACTGAGCGAAGGGTACCTCCTCGGTTACAAGAGTATCCAAGTGAGACTCGATGTGCATCCCCAGGGCCTCAACGCGACTGGTGGCAAAGTCGTAAGCTGATACCGAACCCTGCGCGCACGGCCGGAGGTGAGGACAAGAACAGCAGTGGCGCATCATCACGATCGTGATCAGTGCGCCTGGGATGCGAAAAGAGGGGGGGGGAGTGCAAACCTGGACAACGCTGAGGCAGTTGATGAGGTAGACTGCCATATCCGCCGCCTTGAGGGCTGTGGCGCTGATTGCACACGCCTTGGACAGCGGGTCTATCACTGCTGACAGCACAGGCGCAAACTCAGCTGCCCTTTCGTCCATTGGTACCAGGGATTCATCAAAGGTCGCCATGATCTCCATCTGGACTTGCCCCGCCAGACACAGTGAAACCACCGCGCGAATATTCCAAATCGTGCTCTCGAGCGGGACACATACCAAACGGCTCATGGATTCGTGCACGCAGTGAGGGGGGGATAGATCGGCAGGTACTGGCTGCACACGCCACGGCCATCCAGTAAGCACGACGAGCACATCTCAGTGACGCTGACCCGTGCGTGTGGGAGGTTCAACTCGTGGCGGAAGGGGCGGGTACACACCGGAGCACGAGACAGCAAGATGTCGGCGTCGGATTTGAGGGTGTCATAAAAGAGCTTGAGGACCTCCTCCTTGCAGCTAGGGCCGCGAAGAAGGGATTGAGAGTGGTTACACACGACACACACACACACACACACACACCACACACCACACACACCCCGCACACACCCCGCACACACAACATACGGCAAACAGTCAGCGACCACTCGAAGGACAGGCGCGCGAAGGAGGTTAGGGAGGGTGTACTCGCTGAACAGGGACGGGAGGGAGGCACCGTGGCCCATGATCCTAGTGATCATGCGCGAATAGAAGTCGAGCATGTTGTTGATGCGGAACACTTCGACTGTGCTGGGCTTGCTGTGCGGGTCGAGGACCTGGTCCAGTCGGATCTGGCAGGACCCACGAGTGGCACATACACGCAACGAGGAGATCCGCGCACCCTCACTCAGCCATCTCGGTCTGGGAGACTGGGGGAGGGGAGAAAACCTTGAAAGGCTGCAGAAGAGGCTCGAATATGCGGCTGAGGACCTTGGCGAGGCTTTCCCGGATGTTATGTTTGGTGCCATAGACTGCGTGCCTTGGTGGGTGCTGCTGCTTGTTGGGCATCTCCTCCGCATGGCGTGCGTCATGTGGAAGTTGCGCTTTGTCCTCCGTAAACACCCGGTTGCCGGTCACTTGTCCCCCTAAATAACAGCGACGACGACGGCCCATGTTAGCATGCCACCGGCTGCCGTGCGCATGAGCGTGGGGGAAGGGCAATCACTACTAATTGGGGCGGACGACGAACCCTCGGTTCCAAAAACGCGGTTGAGGAGTTCATATTCGGAAGCAACTGCCTGGTGGAGCCATGCCAGCATGTCACCTACATAGCGGAGAGGATCATGCGCATGCATTTCGATCGGCCGCGGGGTGCCCCCGGGACCGCCTACCGTGAGGGCAGCGTGAAAAGCCCCGAGCGACACCTGTGAACGTGTGTGCACGATCTCGTCGAAGCAGTAACTGCGTCATGCCACACGCCAACACACGCCAACACACGCCAACACACGCCAACACACGCCAACACACGCCAACACACGCCAACACACGCCAACACACGCCAACACACGCCAACACACGCCAACACACGCCAACACACGCCAACACACACACACACACACACACACGCCACAGCACGATGGGTGAGGTAAAGGCTGACGCAAGGATAAGACGTGATAGGGTGCACCTGAGGAGGACGGGCTGCTTCTCCTGAAGGGTGGACACGGCGACGATGAGGAAGGGATTGATCTCGCTCGGGTCATCTCTCAAGGTGGCAAACTCGTCCTTTACCCACCTGTACAGACGATCGTAGGCGGACTGCTGCTCCATCGACATTGCCTCCATCACTTCGAAGCTGCGGAGTACCCCAAACATACGAAATATTAGAAAGCCACAGAAAACGCTCAGATGACAAGGTCAGGTGCACCCAGTGAAGAAAAGGGAGACGGGTCGGGACACGCGACAGGAGAGAAGGAGGGGTTGAAGATAGAGCGAGAGGGTACCCGGCTTTCTGGTGGGTACGAAGGAGAACGGGGCACTCGGAGTAGATCTGTCCAACGTGCTTGAGGGCGTCGAAGAAGAGCTCGTCAATGTCTCCCACACGCAGGGTTGCCTGTTCCGCTTCAGTCAGGCGGAACCGCTCCAAGAAGGCTTCCGCCACCTCTTTCTTGCGTTCGTTCTCCTTCCTGCGTCAGCGCCAGAAGCCCAACGACCATCGTCAGAAAGGTCGCGACGTAATCCGGCTAGACTGAGGGTGACACACGACACACACGACACACACGACACACGACACACACGACACACACGACACACGACACACCCGCCACACGACACACGACACACGACACAGCCGCCACACTCTACAGTGGATTGGGAACGAGGCGAAAGAGTGAGCACTAGCAAGTGTTTTGGGAAGGCGGCACGTGCTTGTCGCGTTGAAACTTGTCGGCCGTGAGAATGAGCTTGCCAGCAGCCAGGCGCGTCTTACTCAGGCGCTCGGCCATGAAGAGGCAGCTTTCCTTCATGCGCCCAACGTCCCCTTCCACTTGCTCCAAGCTCTACAAAAGCACAAAGGGATAGGTGGAACGGCTGGTGAGTGCCCCTCTCAACATTACGGCGTGAAACGTGTGTTCTCGCACATACCAGTTGTACGAGGGAAAAGGCGAGGAGAAAGTCCTTGTTGATGCGGAGTGTTTGCCGCTCGAGATCGCTTCGTAAGAGGCGCCGCGCATGCTTCGAGTTGGGGGCGTGGGGTGGCCCATACCACCCCGACAAATGGTTGAGAGCAGCCAACAGCTCAGGTTCCTCAGTATTGAGTTCCAGCACCTTGTTGAGTTTGCGACTTAGAGACGAACTCAGTTGTGGGCTACTTGTGGCGCCACTACCGCTCACATCTGCCATCATCCTCTCGTTGCGGATTTCTTTCTGCGCACAGGTGTAAATCGGGCGAGAATTTGGCTTTCCTCTCTTTTTCTTTTTTCCTTATGCGTAATAGCCCCAAAAAACTGCCTTCATTCGTGTTGTTGTTGGTTGTCAGAGCCCTGTGGCGTCTGCAAGGGAGGCGAGGAGGAAGATGGCACTGGGAAGTACTTACGTCGAATGATGCCGGAGAGTACACGCGAAGTGTGGTCGAGGGCAAAGTGTACGCCGTGGTCGATCGGGTGCACGATGAAGGGAATGACGGCAAGACCCACGGCTGTCTGCACAAGTGCGCGGCGCCGTGGAGTCAGAGAGGGATATGCCGCCGGCGGGAAATACTTGCCCAGCCCAAAGGCCGTCAGCTTGCAAGTCCGGTTGATGAGCAGCGGTGGCACCAACAGAGACGCCAGCGTTTGCCACAGCAGCGTGTCCGCGACGTTGTCCACAATGTCGAACCTTCGCTCAGCAACCGATCCGTGCTTTCTCTGAGAGTATGGGTGGTGTGCGTGGCGAGGAGCGCAGCTGGTCAGTCGCACGCAATGTGGCGAATAAAGAATAGAAAAGAGAAGGAAAAAGGCACGTACGTGGCTGGCGCGGCGTCCCTTGTGGATGGCATCCGCAAGCACGTAGAGCCCCACCAGGCCATAGGAGGCATGGACCAGGGAAAGAGGAAGCACCCCTCTGCACGCCTCTCCCACTTCGTTGGCGTACCCCAAGTAGCGCGCCCACGTATCTCGCAGCACGTCTAGCTCTGTGCGTGCAACAGGAACCCGTTAAATATAAAAACGGATTCCAGAAAGGAACTCTAGGGGGGCAGGGCACCAGTCGCTTTGGGATCATCCATTGCCGCTGCGCCGATTTCTGGCCTTCGCTAGATTTATCTGGTAAAAATTGGGAACGGGTCGTTTGCCCCCCACACATACCAACATTCCACCTTTCTTTTTTGGCGGGAACCCGAACACCAACCGTCGACGCCAGCGCAGTCTTCCAATTGACAGAGATCCGAGTACCACTTGGCAGAAACACGATGGAGGAGCCGCGAAGGGACGATAAAGAAAACCTCGCCCCTACATCACGTCTCTCGTTTTCCTGTGACGGTACTAGAAACAACATTCCGCCAAATCTCACAGGCGTTCCTTCTCACTTTTACATGGGTTTGAAGCAGCTGGGGATCTCAAGCAGGAGGGCTTCCACCTGAAACAGGTGTCTTCCGGGATACGTCTGACGAGGCGCGACCAGGAGCAAATCAACGAACTTAGAAAGCAACTGGCTTCGACCGGCGGCGGCGAGCTGAGCGCGCCTTGCCATGGCGGTGAGGCGACCGCATCCCAGCGTGCTGGCGAGGAAGAGGAAGAGGTCGCCACGAGTCAACGGTTGCTGAGGATGAGCCACCTCAGTCGCCGCACGTCTACACCTCTGCGCGAACTCTTCCAGCAGAGTCTCGCCGCGGCGGCCGCGGCCATGCTGCCCGATGCGAAGCCGCTGCTGCCCAATTCCACGTCGTCGGCGAGTGGGAGTAGCACCCCCTCGGAAGGAAGGCAAGGCGCGGGGGCACCACCAGTGGCCACCGTGGAGGGGATCGTCACGACCGTGGCCGACCACCGCTTTCCTCGCGCGACGGGCAAGCGCAAGTCCGATGCCGACACCGTCCTGGAGCGTTTGGCAGCGTCGGCCGGCGATAACGGCAGTAGCCCCCATCTGCTGCTGGGTTCTCCAGGCAAGAGGAGACGCACGTCTCTGCTTCCCTTCGGGGCCACCACCACCACCACCACCTCCTCCACCACCACCACCACCTCTTCCGGTGAGGCCAGCGGCCTTCGCTGTCACTCTCGGGGAGCAGTAGCCCCAGCTCCCGCGCCTCTTCATAACGGCGACGAGCACCACCACCTCCTCGAGGAGGTCGACAGGCCATTCGATCAGGCCGGTGGTGACGATGGCGACTACGAAACGGGCGATGGCAAAGAGGTGGACCAGTCGGCAATGGAGCAGAGCGTGATGAACGTGGACGCGTCGATCTCCATGGACTCGGCCACTGCGCAGTCTTCGCAACAACACGATGTGCCGCCGCTCTCCCTCGGGACTGTGTTCGACTCGCCGCGATCTTCTTCGGCAAGCGTGGACACGCGGCTCGACAAGAGGAGCAGCTTCCTCAGGAGGACGTTTTCCATGAAGAAGCTGAAACCGGGCACCTTCACCGCCAACAAAGACCCTCGTCTGGCCTTCTTGCGAGTTGCGTGTCCTCCTCTTCGCCCCATGGCGCGCGCGCACACGCACACGCACACGCACACGCTCACGCTCACTGATCAACTATCTCCCACTTCACAACAGCTGCTCACGGAACAGGAGCTCGCCGTCACCAACGCCCTGCTCGAAGTCGGGAGCGAAGACGTGGCCAAGAGCGTGCTGGTCCTGTTCGACGGCACTGGGCAGGTACAGACCTCTCCGCACCACTGCAAACACAACTACGGCTCACCCACCTCACCCACTCCCGCCATTACTCTCGACCGCTGGCGCCGTTTCTCTCGCCGGGGTCGATGGCTTGTGCTTTCCTCGCACGTGTGTGACACACCCAGGCAGCCCGCCTGCTCAAGTGCTGCCTGCAAAGGGAGCTGCATGCCACAGCATCTGAGGGCACGCTCTTTCGAGGGGTGAGCGTCGGGACACGTCTCATGTCGCACTTCATGCGGCTGCACGGACGAACATACCTGGAGATCACCTTGACGCACTTCTTCGAGACGCTGCTGCCCAAGGACATACAGCTTGAGGTGGACCCCAACCGCGCTACTGCCGACGCCGGTGCTATCAGCCACGGGTGCACGGTACAGTACTGCGGCCTCCGTCTCTCCTGTGCACATGTTTCCTCCTCTCCTCTATTCTCTCTCTCCCCCCCCCATCCACACGTGTGCCTCATGCGTGTCGTGTGCGGTGACGCGTGTGTGTGTGTGTGTGTGTGATGTGACATTCGTGAATTGGCACAGGCTCTGGCACACCTGGCGGGGGCTCTCTTGAACGCTCTCTTCTCCGCTCCCGGCCACGTTCCCGAGGGTTTCAGGGATCTCTTTGCCTCTGTTCGGGCGGAGGTGCTCCAGCGCTTTCCGGAAATGGAGGACAAAGTGGTGGGCGGCTTCTTCTTCTTGCGCTTCATCTGCCCGGCTCTTGTAGCACCGGAGCAGTGGGGGCTTGTTGCCGGTACGCCCACGCTCCCTCTTCCTCCCCCCCCTCTTATTGAATTTCCCATTTGCCTAACAAGTCCCCACCAACCGGTACCAGGTCCCCCCTCGCAAGGCATGCGGCGAGCCCTCATCCTGATCAGCAAGGTCGTCCAAAATGTGGCCAACGAGGTCGAGTTCGGCGACAAGGAAGCGTACATGATGCCGATGAACGGGTTCATCAAGGAGTACATCCCACGGATGAAGCATTTCCTCGGTGACATCTCCGCCACGGTACCTCTCGGAAGCTTCCCTTCACCACTCCCCGTCCATTTTGATGGCGGAGGCGGGCACGGGCATGTGGTGTCATGTGTGTGTGTGTGTGTGTGTCGTGTGTCGTGTGTGTGTCGTGTGTGTGTCGTGTGTGTGTCGGTGTGCTTAGCCAACATTTCCGCGACCCAACAACACCACACTACCATAATGGCTGCAGGCTGGGACACCAAGTACGCCTCGGGCAGCCAAAGCATGGGCGGAAGACCCAACGCTCTTGTGGGCCAACGACGAGTTCATGGCCAGCCTATTCGACGTGTTTGATGAGGTGTCGCTTCATGCAGACTGCCTCGCGGCTCACCTCCAGGCGGGCGGCCAGGTAAAAGTCCCTTCTACCGTCTCGTGGGGTTTCGCGTTTGTGCTCAACCATCCATTCGATGATGGTTCCCCGTCTGTGTATCGCACCTCAACTCCTCCGCTCCGTTTGCTTCTCCCCATCCCCATAGGGCCTCTTGGCAGAGGAGCTGCACAGTGTGGGTAAGGAATTGCCTTCGCGAGAAGGTCAGCTCAAGAAGCGCACGCGCGAGCAACGCGCCACAAAGAAGAAGGAGCACAAGCGCAAGGAAAGGCGCCACAGGAGGTCGCTTTCCGACACCGAACTTGAAGTGCTGGAGACCACCGCGCCCAAGACGGGCGGAACACCCGGGAGGCGGCAACTCAACCGGCTGCTAAGCACGTCCAAGAAGCTCCTCCCCCGGTTCGCCTCTGACAACCACGACGAGCGACCCACCACCGGCGGCAGTGGTACTTCCACCACCGACAACACCGGTGCCTCTCGTAAGTTCCTCAAGGCCAGACGGAAGGCCTCGGCTTCCTCCGCCGCAACCCTCGACTGACAGCCCGCCCCTCTGCGTTTGTATCAAACCACTCTCCTCCTCCTCCTCCGCCGCCGCCGCCGCCTCTCTTCGTTCTCATCCCTTCGTTCTCCTCCTCCTCCTGACCTCCCAAGTGAGCGTGTGGCTCCTTTGGGATTCGTTGGGTCAATAACAACTATCGGCAGGCTTGGCCGCCAAGAGCCGGCCTCTATTTCACGAACGAATTGAAGATTTTGGGGTTATGGCCTCACGTGGCGCAGGCGCGCAAGATGGCAGTAGAGGGCGAGGCACGCAAGAAAGCCGTGGGCCAGGTAGGTCAGGACGACACGTCCGGCATCAGGTCGAGCACGGGCAACCTGACTGCCGGGGGGTGACCTGGCGGTGTTGGTGTGGTGGAAGAGGTCAGGATTAATGTCGAGTGCCCAGAGCGAGCGATACAAACGAGGGAAAGCAACTTACGGTACTTACTGCTGCTCGTTAGGCCGCACGAAGGCCGAGGCGTCGTACTTGTCATCGAGCTGCAGATCACAGATGGGATTGGTGCGCATAAAGTCGAGCGAGCACTTGTGCCCAACCAGGTCTCTGATGTTCTTCACCCCGTAGCGAATCATCGTTGGCCTGTACGGAAGGGGAGTGCGTGACGTGCGTCAACAACGAACAAGGGAAGCTGTGGGTAAAAGAGAGAGAGGGTTGTTGATGTGATGTGTGTGTGTGTGTGTGTGTGTGTACCTTTCCAGCGACAGGCCCCAGGCGAGGACTTTAATGTTGGGATCGAGGCCCATGGGGAGCAGCATCTCGGGTCTGAACATGCCCGAGTTTCCGATCTCAATCCACTTCTTTAGGCCGGGGTGGAAGGCGAAGATCTCCATGCTCGGTTCCGTGTAGGGATTGTAGGCCGGCTTAAAGCGCAGCTGCGTCAAGCCTGCACACGCACACGACACATACGTATGAGGGAGGCGCGCCTAGAGCAGAACCCCCCCCCACAAGGCTCACCCGTCATTCCACCACACACACACAGAGAGAGAGAGAGACGACGCGTTACCCCACTTCTGGAAGAACTGGGTAATGACTCCGATCAGGTCGGCGAGCGTAAGATCGTAATCGGCCACGAGCCCTTCGATTTGGTGGAATTCCGCCAGGTGGGTGGCGTCCAGCGTCTCATTTCTGAACACTCTGTCGATGGAAAAGTACTTCTTGGGCGTGAACGACTTCTGCTGGCCTGCAGAAGAGAAGAGAAGAGAAGAGAAGAGAAGAGAAGAGAAGAGAGCCGTGGCCGTGAGTGGGGTGGGCGGCAAGTGGCCATCAGAGAGCAACACGGCTACGGCCGAGGGCAAGAGGCCGAGTACCGAGCTTGTAGAGCATCCTGGAGGAGACCGACGTGGTGTGCGTGCGGAGGATGTTCTTCTTGGCCTCGTCCAGCTTCCAGTCGTAGCGCCATCCAATCGATCCAAGCCCGCCCCTTTCGTGCATCTCGTGCACACGCTGCAGCGGAGCCAAGGAAATGCGTGGTCAGACGCAGAGGCTCCTCCTTCTCCCCTCCGTGTGTGGTGCGTGGCGTGGCGTGGCGTGGCGTGGCGTGGCGTGGCGTGGCGTGGCGTGGCGTGGCGTGGCGTGGCGTGGCGTGGCGTGGCGTGGCGGGGACGGGAACGGGAACGGGAACGGGAACGGGAACGGGAACGGGAACGGGAACGGGAACGGGAACGGGAACGGGAACGGGAACGGGAACGGGAACGGGAACGGGAACGGGAACGGGGGGGGGGCACGTGCCTGGAGGTAGTCCTCGGGCCAGGTGAGCATGGAGGCGGGCTGGGAGAGGAAGAAGGTGTCGTGGGCGTCGCGCGCGGGGTGCTGCTGGGGCTGGAAGAGGGCGTCAAAGTTCCAGAAGGAGCTCTCCACGAAGGAATTGGTGGGCATCTCCTCGAAGCCCATCTCCAGGAAGATCTCGCGGAAGGCGCTCCTCACTTTGAGGAGGGGGTGGAGGTGGCCCGACGTCGGCTGCGTGCCCAGCGCGTTGAAGTTGTACTCCTTGAACGTCTCCGTCTCCCACGCCCCCCTGCACCCCCCCCCGCGCGTGTCAGCACTGCGCACGACCACCCCACCACCGGTGAACCCGACCCGACCCGACCCAACGAACGAACGAACGAAGCGATCGACGGCCACGCGAGGAGCCATGGGTGGGTGTGCGCGGCGACGGGGGGGGGCTCCGTACGAGGCGATCATTTCGGCGGTGAGATCGAGGGCCTTCTTCTTGATGCCCGTGACGCTAAAGCACTCGCCCTTGGAGAGGTCGAAGACCTTGGTCTTCACGTCCCTCAGCAGCTTACGCTTGGAGAAGACCAACTTGTCCTTGTCGCTCAGCGCCTCCCCGTTCTTGAACCCACACAGCTTCTGCCGCACCACGTCATCGATCGTGCTGGCCTGGCAACACGTCCACACCACCCACGTCAACTCTTGGCCATCTCCACGCGAGCGGACCCAGCGGAAGGGGGGGGGGCTTGTCGTGAAGCCAAACAGGGGTGCCATGCATGGCGGTGCGTGCCTGTCGCATAAGCTTGCCGCTGGCCTTGTCGAACGTGATCCACTTGTTCTTCATGGCTTCCGAGAAGCCCGGCTTTCCGAAGGGCAGTTTCTGCGCGTAGGGCATTTAGATTGTGATTATTAATAGTTTATGGCATGGGGGAAGACCAACAAATTTGTCAACAAAGGGTACCCCAAGCGCAGAATGTTTGCTGCTGGAAATCATGGAACAAAAATAATAAAAATTAATAAAGTGGTGTGGTACCTCTGTGTCGGCCTTGAGAGTACCTGATGCGGCATCAATGGCCTCGAACAGACGGGCTTCGGGAGAACCGGCCTCCACCACCTCCAAGCCCTCCTTTGTGAGCTCGGTGCTGCTCACCTCCACCACGACGGCGTTGATGACCCCGTGCGACTCCAGTTTCTTCAGCACGGAAACCACGACGGCATGGTCGACCTGGAAGTGGTTGGCAAAATGGAGCGAATTTGGCACTCGCCCAGTGGCTTCCAGAGTTCGGAGCAGCTCCCCTTCGATAAGCTGGCGGATTTCACCTTCCGATGGCGACGATGAGGAGGCTTCCATTGTGTCGGAGAAGGGGATCCGGGCGCGGAAAGGTTCTGCTCTCGGTTCCGGTTTTTTTTGTTGTTGTTTTCTTTCTCTCGCCAAAGGCTTTCCGGACAATTTCCCACAACGGGCGCAGCAGCACACGTCAGCCGCGGGGTGGGCGGAGGGAGCAGCGGGCGGTGACGCGGAGAAGATGGGCGAGGAGGAGAGGCTGTTCTCCCCAGCACGGCGCAAGTACTGCTTGGTGGAGGGAAAGCGATAGAGTCGCGAGCTGCTCCGATATGAGCCGAGTGTGGTCGTCATCGTGGTGGTCCCCGCCGTCGCTCAGATCGATGCACTGAGGAGTGTGGTCGCGGCGTTGGCGGCTCTGTTGCTCCCAGGAGGGGAGCAGCTGCTCCACGAGGTGGAGCACGATGCAGAGGTTCTCTTGCTGGCAAAGTGCCGAGGAAGGCGCGTCCCCCTGTCGTTGATGCACCATCTCGAGATCCCGAAGCGCGAGGCGGAGAGCCGTCAGTAGAGAGCTCGCAAGAATGCCGTTAACTGCGTGGGAGAGCGCCAGGGTTGCTACCACCTCTGCCAGGTGAGTTCTCAGATCGACTGGCGCAGTACCGCTGGTCGAAAGCCATATGAAACGGTTATAACTGGGGTGAGTCTCGTGTGCCACGGCGTACTTGCACACTTTGGAAAGAGAAGGCGAACCCTGGCTGCCCATCTGCGGCCGTCCAGCGCCAGGCCAAGATGTGGCTCAGCGCATTGGCGGAGAACTGGCGGATCACTTTACGTGCTCCGGCTCGGAGTGAAGACGGCGCCTGGCCGTCTGCGGCTCGGACTTGGGCAAGCAGCATCGCCAACACCGACCAGGCACAACGAAATTCGTCCGCTGATGTGGCGGCCAGGAGCAGCCCTCCGACTTCTCCCAGAGACTGCAGGGCACCGGCCTTGGCCAAGCCAACGCAAGCACCATCGCCACTTGGCTCCACGAAAGAAGCTGGGTGCGCGACCGTGTAGCCCTGACGTATCTCTCTAGCCTTGAGCCCGCACCGCAAGACAGCCCAGCAAAAACCGTCGACCGCGGGGGGTGCAGCTGGCGTACGGGGAGCCTGGGTGGCATGACGCCAAAGGAGGCACGGTAAAATGTGCCTAGGCGTGAGCGCGAAGGGACGAGAGCGAGTTGGTGAGCTGATGGTTCGAGCGGCACACGTACCGGCTTCTCTCCTGCGAAGTGCCTGTGCTTGGTCCGTATGAGGGAGAAGGCAACCAACACCATCAACCTAGTCGATACTCTCGGTGGCGCGCTATGAAGGAGGCTCTGCCCGCAGTAGTTCTGCATGCACGAGTAGTGGGCGTGTAGAAGTGTTTGTTTTTCGTTTCGGTTCGCCTTCGGTTAGCCTTTATTTCGTTTGTGTTTTGGCGCGCAAAAAAGAAGCCAAGATTTGCGTATCGATCTCGCGATGCTCTGGGATGACCCCTTTGGTGAACAAGAGGATGAGCTCGCCGGGGAGCTCGACGAGCAAAACGAAGATGGAGAGGTACCACACGTGCATGGTGCACACTTGAGCAGGCTTTTTTGGCTCACTTCTGCCATCCTTTCCCACCACAGCTCTTCTTTGCCAACAAGGGTAAATGTGGCTTCGGCACTGGGCGTACTTCTTCCTCACGTGCTGACCATTCTGCTCTTTTCTTTAAGATTGCATCATCTTTTTGATCGACTGCCAAAGGTCCATGTTCGAGCTGAACGACCGCGGGGAGATGCCCTTCCACAACGCGGTGAAGTGCGCCATTGCGACCCTTACGGATAAGATCATCTCCAGCGAAAACGATTTGGTGGGCGTGTGCTTTTATGGCACGGTTCGACCCCCCCCCCGCTCTGCTGGCCGTCCTTGCTCGAAGAAGGAGGCCTCTGTACGTCTGATCGTGCATTGTTGCCGCACCTCTTTAGGAGAAGAAGAACAATCCCAACGACTTTGAAGGGATCTACGTGCTGCAGGAGCTGGACGTGCCTGATGCACAGCGCATCATGGACCTTGAAGGCCTTCTACGTACCCAGCATGCTGTCGCCGCTTTTTTCAGCCGCCGGGCATCCGATCGGCTCGCTGACCCTCGCCGTGGTGATCTGTTCGTTCTAGGACAGGGGGACGATTTTACCCCCTTTGGACACTGCAGCGCCGACTTCCCATTCTGTGACGCTCTGTGGACGTGTTCTACAATGTTCTCCAACTGGTACGCAGATATGCGCTTGTTCGGAACGAACCACCATGGTGTTGTGGCAGCCCCTGTACAGCGGTGGCCGCGCGACTGTGCACTGACGCTTCCCCCCCCCCCAGCGCGGTCAAGGTGGGCCACAAGCGCATCTTTTTGTTCACCAACGAGGACGACCCCAACGCGGCCAATAAGAACTTGCGCGAGCAGAGCTTCCAGAGAGCCAAGGTTCCACCGCGCTCTACACCCGCGCGTTAGCCAATCGATTGCCCTATCGGATATATACATGCGTGCTCACCCAGGTTGGGCTCGTTTCGCGCGGGCTCTCCCCCGTCCTAGGACCTTATGGAGCTCGGTATCGACATCGAGCTCTTCTCGATGAACAAGCCCGGAGATAGCTTTGACCCGTCCCGCTTTTACCAGGCACGCGAGCTCGCCCTCCCATCTCCACCCCCCACCCCCCACCAATCACGGGCAACTACTTGTTGGGTGGACCACCCAACCTGACGGCGGTCTGTATTCTGTGCTCGCATGACTGTACTACTATATACTACAGAATATCATCTCCGTCAGCGAGGATGAAGATACGGGCACCATCAACTTTGACGCCAGCTCCAAATTTGAGGAGCTCCGTGCGCGAGTGCGCCGAAAGGAGTTCAAGAAGAGGGCCATCAACCGATTGTCTCTCCTTTTCGGCGAGGACGTCGAGATATCGGTGCGTCTGTACGTACAGACGGCTCTCCAGATCGACCCTCCTCCTCCTCCTCCTCCTCTCCCGTCGTCCTCCTTCTCCTTCTTTTCTTCGCCCTTTTTCTTTTGTCGTTGCCCGACGTGGTGGCCTTGCCCTTCTTCTGCGTGCGCGCGCGGAGCGCCGCGGTGGAGAAGCCGAGTTCGACGTTGTCGCGGAGATCCTTGACCCGGCCCACCCGTGTCGGTGCACGCCCAGGAGCAGGTTGCGGTCGTCCTGGGCCGTCCACCAGTCCGCCGG